ACTAATGGAGTTTTAAGTCTGAAAACTCTGCAGAGAAATAAAATAATCGCAGCAAAGACAATAATAATAAACAACATGTTTATTATCATATGTGTTATATGTTTCGTTTGTGGCAAAAAAGGTGTGGTTTTTTTTTGTTTGTTTGTTTGTTTGTTTTTTTTTTAATGATGGTACCGACTGGGCAAAGCAAGTAACTGTCCCATGGTCTGTGTGGTATTTACTATGTGGTGACTGTGATATGCGCAACTTTAAACCATAAGGTGACAACTGCATTTTACTCAGTCTTTAGGCCCTTGTCATATATGTGTTATTCAAACAGCAGCGTAGTTTCACAGCATAGAAATATTGGTTGACTTCAGAGATTCTGGGCAAGATGGGTTGAGAGAATGCGTGACAGGGTGAGGGACTCAAAAGGGGGCTTTAGTGTGCCTCGTCCCTCAACCCCTCAGCAGGTAAAATCAGCCCTGATAATAGCGTGAGACATCATCTTAACAAAAAATAAAACAAAAAAAACCCTTTAAACTTGCTTTTTCCAACTTTTCTTCACTTTCTGCTATACTCTTCAAATAATGGTAAGGAACAGTTTTGGCAGCTTCTTACTACCTGTCATAAATCCTTTAAACAGCCTTGCTCTTGATAATTTGAGAGCTATTACTGTGTCTGAGAGAGCGATAATCATCTATCCCTGTCACAATAAACACAATGTTAACAACAAGGCAATCAAACTGTGTAGACTCCTGTCTGGTGTTTAATCATGCCGCAGTTACTCACCATGACAATGCTGTGCCTTTCTCTTTCTTTTTTTTTTTTCCCAACGTGACATCATCTTGCCACCCACCGTCGGGTAGGAATAGCTGCAGCAGACTGTGGAGGCAAAAAGGAAAGCCATGGTTACTTGCTAATCACTCACATATGGCCCCTAGTCATGTCACAGAAAGTGGCGAGTTAACATTGTTTGTAAGTATTGTTGACCCAAGCAACCAGCCATGGCATAACCCTGGTCATTAGCAAAACTCCTGTCTTTCTCACAATTGCGCACACACACACACACACACACACACACACACACACAATTGCATCCGCTGTCACCTCTGATATATATGACCCTTGACAGCAGAGGAGCTCAGTAAGACAGGCTGTCAGCATCTCTGCAATGTGTCTGGCTTGTCTCCCCTCATTGGATGGCCAGCATGTGCCTCAGGTCTCTCCTGCCCGTCCATATCCACACCAATTTACAGCCTGGCTGCCAACAGAATGATATTCTCATGTGACAGTTTTTTTTTTTTTTTTTTCTTCTCCCTTCCGGACAGAAATCTTGAATTATCATGTTTCATTCCTGTGAACTCCCTTTTGGCTATTCAGCAATAATGTACAGCCACACCGGGATCAACACTCCTCCTCGTGGGCTCAATACTCATCAAGTACAGAATCTTATAACCGTTTCTGTATTCTAATAATAATAAAACATCCATCTTTTTATCTCCAGCGAGGTAGAAAGCTCACACTGGAAGAATGATGTCTTTATTCTCCGGCTACTCTGTGTGTGTGTGTGTGTGTGTGTGTGTGTGTGTGTGTGTGTGTGTCTTAATTTTTTTGAGTGTGTTGTCTCTGTGGCTTTTAACAACAAAGCAACACTGTTTTCTGATGAATGATCATCCCCGCCAAGTTTTTATTGCTCTCCGTAGATTACATCAGCCCGTAGTAATGCCAGTGAAATGTGGGAACCTAATGAAAATACTTCAAACCATATCTTAATACAAACAATATTTCTCGCGCTGAAGTACGCATAGATGATTTTTCACACAGCTGTTGTCAGCATTTTTCATTCATGAATTATGAACAGAAAGGAACTGATAGCAATGTAATCATGGCAACAAGATAGAGAGGATTGTAGGAATTAAAACTTTTAGGAACTTTAATAACAAACAGATCTGTATGTGTGTGTGTTCCTGTTACTGGAAAAAATTAGCACATGAAGTTGAGTTGATTGTTAATAAGGACTGAAGCTGCCTGTAGGATCACAGGAGACATGGGTGCGGCAAGGCCGTGAGATCATCGCATCACGTATGACACCTACTTTATACCCATTGTTGATCCAGAGAGGGAAAAGTCGACCTCAGTGGTAACAGCCTTGAGAAGGAAGGCTGTGTATAGACCCCGCGAAGATGGAGTGTGAACAGTCTTGTGAACACACCCTCGTCTGCTGGCGTTGACAGATGGGGAGTTCTAGCTAAGGTTAGTCCGAGGGCTCCCATTAGGAGGAAGGCAAAGCACGAAAGGCTCAAATGCTTTGATATTGCAGCTGCAGTCTTATGAGAAATAAACAGGCGCCTTTCATCCCACACACACACACACACACGCGCAGGCAGGCAGGCATGCATGTGTACACGTGTGAAATAAGTGTGCAAACCATCTACCTTGCCTATACAGCACATGTAGAGAGTGTAGAATAAAGCTGCCAAACCCAACATTTCCTTGCAACTTGAACGAAATGTACAAATGCAAAGACTGCAAGAGGAAAATCTGAAGCTGAATATGAAGCAATAAGAACCGGATTCCACTTTTTATTTATATATTTTCGGCTGATTCAACACACAGTAACAACAAGACAAGAGCAAAATCAGTTTGCTTGTGTATTGAGGTTTTAAGCGTGGAGAGAAACTTTGTTGCTAATGACGACGGATAAAGTTGACATGGTGGTGCAGCTTTCCCAAGAATAAGATTCAAAAATATCTGACACTGGGGACTTAACACTCTGTAGCCTCTGTAGCCCCGCCCATTCCACATACCAGGACTGAATACTTTTTTTTTTCTTTTTTACAAAACGTGCCATCAGAATCATTTGCAAACAAAATTATGTAATGCGTTCACACAGTCCCCTAATAGTGTTGGGACTTTTCATGTGGAGCACTAAACTATTTGCTCGCCATAAAGTAATGTGGCGGAATCCCGGCCAAACACTTAAGCCAGGGGGGAACTGGAAACCATTTTGTTTTGAGTGGAATCAGGAAGTCATTAGCAAACTGATGCATTACTATAGAACAGTAATGGCAGGCGGTCTGATACTGATACATCAGGCTGTCAGAATGGAGGGCATCGGTCGATAACACCCCCTCAAAGTGTCTTCCTGGCAAGTGGTGTGGCCTATAATGAAACTGGCGCACAGAGAGGAGAGAGGCGTATGACAGGAGGGTCTTACACCAGCCGACCTCACCCCTGTGGTAGAGAGCCCATTATCATTAAGAGTCTGAGTAAATGTGAAGGAGGCTTTGTGCTGCTGACCAAGCTGGAATAAGTATATTAACTGGGCAGTTTCTCAGCTGTCAGGGGTCTCAATTTTGGGCCCCTGCTAATGTGATGTTAATAAAAACAAAATAGTGGGCTGCGGGACCCCTGAGAGCAGCCTTCAGTACTCCTATAAACTGAGGTGGCGCACTGTAATATCCCGTGCGCCTGCCTGCATCAGCAGAAAGCGCACGTGGTGATATGAACAGTTATAGTTGTGCTGCCTGGGGTTATTGCACTTGGTTTATTTAATGATGCTATCGATGGCTGGGTGAACAGAGGTGCATGCTGGGATAAATCACAAAGACTCTGGGTCCCTGTCCGGACACAACACGAGGACTCACTCAAACAAAGTGCACGGGTTCCGCAGACACAGTAAACACAGACAGCCTCATCTCTTTCTCGCCCTGCCACTCATTAACACACAAACACACAGATGTTGGCTGTTTTTCAATAAACCGCAGTATGTGTCGCGCGCGCTCTTTCTCGTGAGGAAAATTATTAGCCAGCTGTTCATTCCCCAGGCATCTGCAGAGACTATTCCACGCGCCGTGAGTGCTTGAACACACACTCGCACACATTTACTGGAGATAGATGGCTGAGAGTGAGTGGGTTCTGTGCCCTGCAGGTTACAAGGCATAGTGAGAGGGCAGGCGAGGTTTCCGACACTGTTAACACGCCGACGTTAATCAATTTGCAGAGAACTGGCTGAGCTGGAGGCCATCAGTGAACTGCCATTTAAACTCACAGAAACAGACAGACAGGTACTGTACATAGGTAGACAGAGGACAGTAACTATTGGCAGGCTTTACTGCATTGTCAGTGAGTGTGTGTGTGTGTGTGTGTGTGTGTGTGTGTGCGTGCGTGAGATGAGATTGTTCATTTAAATGCCAGTCTCTCGGTTTGGTCCTGGCTCGATTCACCCTTGTTACAAGGGTGTTAGAAGTACATCTGCGTGTATGCGTGTGTGTGTGCGTGTGTACATGCACACTGTGCATGGAAAGAAGGTGCAGGCATGTGCGCATTTGTGTGTGTGCATGCATGCTTAGCTTGCATTTTAAACAGGCAGGCAGGATGATCTATACTGTCAGGGTCAGGTCTATCTGGGCTCAGCTAACCTCAGCCTCTTAAGACCTAACATCTGCTGGGGTCAGACAGCCGGCCCAGGGATGGCTCATCATCAGCTGGATGCTGGTGTTCATGTTCCAGCTAACTACTGGCAGGAGACGAGTTTTTCTTTATTTATTTATTTATTTTTTATTTTTTGTGTGTGTGTATCCAAGCAAGTCCGGCTCCGGCTCCAGCTCCCTGCATCTTTCTGTTTCATTTTAAATCTCCAGTTGCCTTGGGCAAACACGCAGTGAAGATTTTGGTTACACAACATTATGTATTGATCCATCTGTAATTTAACAGCTTGTTTCATGTTTGATGTTTCTGTGTTGACAACCTTCCTTGATCATAGTGAATAAAGTGAAATGATTTAATAAACACGTAGTATAAGTACTTACTTACTTTTTTTTTACTTTCTCATTGTGTTACATATTAGAATATGTTGTCCTTGTTTTATAGCATGTAAGACTAATCACTTCCCCATTTTTACACTTAAATAATAATGTTAATTATATCCCTCATAAAAACTTTATATCCCCTCACATACATTCCACACTGCCCTCACTCTTTCTTTCTTTTTTCTCGTTATCTCCCTCCCTCCCCAGGAGACTACGTTGTGCTGACCGTCTTCTTTGACCTGAGCAGGAGAATGGGCTACTTCACCATCCAGACCTACATCCCCTGCACCCTGATTGTTGTCCTCTCCTGGGTGTCATTCTGGATCAACAAGGATGCAGTACCTGCCAGGACATCATTAGGTACAAAGAAAAACAAACTAAAAGTCGTTTCCCCTATAAGATATCGATCATTTATAGTACATTCTTTTTTTTCCTCTTTTTTAAGTAAAAAGTCAGTTTACAGAACATGTAACTGCTTACCCAGCCTTCACAGAGCCTTCATCTTAGTTTGTTTGTATAATCAGTCCAACAAGCCCAAACACACATATGGAGTAGGTATACCAGTGAGCTTCATTAGACATCCTGTCCTTAATTACTCTCTGCTGTGCAACATATCAAGAACCCAGTGGTGGTTACACACAATCTGCTTAAGCTTCTTCTGTCCCGCCATTCTCTCCTTTCCTTTTGTCTTCTCCTTCACCATCCTTTCTCCTCCTCCTTTTTTCCCCTCGGAGACAGGGCAGCTGCTTAGGAATCTAGTCCATCTTGATTAGAAGAGCCTATCCTGGCGCATATGTTTTCATGCATGCCTTAATGAGGCATTAATTATGCAGTACAACGGGGAAGATGCAGAGATGCAGCCTCAGCACAAATATATTGCAGGTGGCCTGCTCACTGAATGCAAAAAAAAAAGGACACGAAATAGAAAAAAAAAAAAAAAAAAAAAGGGGAGGGGGGGGGGGGGCAAAAGTGAGGATTTCAAGGAAATTTTGTCAGCTTTTGAACTTGCCCTTGGCGTCCAGTGGACATCCTCACAAGTTCACTCAGGATTCAGTTACGTAGATATTCCTTAGTCAGCTTTCCTCCTGGCCCCTTAAGGCTCTAAATCCCGACCTCTAGTCCATGCGATGTGATCATTAGCGAGCATAACTGAATGTAAAACAATCCCTGCAGGCAGCTACGTGCATTCCATTCCTCGCTATCATCATTACTTTGTCAGTCATTAATCTCCATAAAAATAGGTTGTTGTGTTTTCTTGTGCTTCCGCAGCTCCAGATCTGCAGTCGAAATAATAACACTATTAATTCCCTGCTAAAATTGCACCGAGTCAAATATCTTAATTTCCTCTTTGAAAGATGGTGCGGAAGGTACAGGCAGCCAGGTGGTTAGGAAGCAGATTAATGCAGATGACATAATTCTTAATCCTTCAATGCCATCCAGAAATATATCAATTCACTCACAACACTGCTCTGTTAATCTTGACGCAGACTGACGTCTTTCAGTCCGCATTAAATTTAGACAGAAATCGTCTTCTGTACACAAGGCGAGTCCGCTTCACATGTACGGTCGAGGCGGTCTTGTTTGTTTGTCGCTTGTTTGTCAGTGTGTTTGGGGGGTTGTGAGGCTGCTGTTGCTAATCTGTTGTATCAGTGTACTTATAAACGCATTTCCTCGCCATGTGCCATCCCTTCCACCTCCTCCTACATCATCGTTAGAGCCAGACAGAGTGAGTAAAAGGGGAGAGGGTTACCAGATGGCTGATATAGGCATGTAGTATGTCAGCGGCGGTGGTCAGTGGCCGGTGAACCGTAAACCAGTAAAGTATGTGGATCAAGGGGACAGTAAAACAGCTGCTCACTCCTCCCTCGTGGCCACCTAACTGTTTAGCACTCGCAATTAAACTGCAAACATTAATCCTCTTTTATATAAACTGTATACATAAATGTCAGTAGCACAACTTACTGTGTTAGTCACAAAAGCTGCTAATTCATAAGTGCTGCTTAAAATAATTCATCATCATTTGTTTTGTTGTTGTTTTTAAGCAAATTCTGTCATGACAGTTTTGCAAGGGAATATTATGTTACTGCTGAACAAAATAAACCTCTATCATGATGTTTATAAAGTAAAACAACAGATTTGGCACACCTTCCGCTTCAGATACGCAACTCGATTTTATTCAGAACTGTGGTTTCAGCTGCCTCCCCACGGTGAAACTGTTTTGAGGAGAATATCCTGTTAGAAACACATGCAACCATATCTTTAATTCTTCTCTAAGTACCTGAATAAATGTCTGAATAAAGCTGTGAGCATGACAAGCTCATGACAGATTTAAGAACACATTAAGTACTAAGAGATGCCTGTTTAACATCATAATGTACCGTTTGACAAGCTACTGTTTATAATAGATTACATTTTGAGCTAGGGAGATTGCTTTTTTTTTTTTTTTTTTTTACAATATATATGTAATAAATGAACTGTAATTAATTTTGAGCTTGAATCTAATTTTATCTTGTCTTCTCTCTTTCCCAGGCATCACCACTGTGCTGACCATGACCACGCTGAGTACTATTGCCAGGAAATCCCTTCCAAAAGTTTCCTATGTGACCGCCATGGACCTGTTTGTGTCTGTCTGCTTCATCTTCGTCTTTGCCGCACTTATAGAGTACGGCACGCTGCACTACTTTGTCAGCAACAGGAAGCCGAGTGCCAAAAAGGACAAGAAGAAGAAAAACCCGGTGAGCGTCTTCCTAAAACTAACACTTCTTTATAATTATTACGTGAGGTGTAAGTTTCTGATTTAGAGAGGTCGCTTGATTTCATCACGTAGATATACAAACTACATTATTTTGATTAATGTACTATATGAGAGCGTGTAATATCTTTACAGTGTTCACAGTATCCTTTATTTAGGTGAAAGGTCAAGTTTTCCCTACACACTCTGTGTTGTCGTCGTCCCCCCCCACCCCCAACCCACCCCACTGTATGACAGTACTGGCATAAGCCTTAGAAAACAGCTATACACTGCTTATTATTCCTAAGGGAGCATCTTCCTGGGGGCCACCACCTCAAATTGCTCAATGAGAGAGGCGTGCAGCTCGAACCTTTTCCTAATCCGTCACACATCTGTTACAGATGTAATTTAGACCCATGTCACATGACAGGAGAGTTGGCCTGATGTGAGCCTTAAATCCCTCAAGAGGTCATGACATATCTGCTGAAAACAAATATATGAGCACTTATTGAGCTGCGTACATTTACCCTCAACAGCAAGACTAGCATTTCTTTCTTTCTTTCTTTAGCACCAGCCTAAGCATTGGCTATTCACATATATACACATACACTTATACATACACACTATAACTACATAAACATAACAAACAAAAGCAGCCCATCACAGAGGATTAACAATCTAGTTGATACAGAAAGGAAACCAAATTGTCAACTTGTAAATGGACATCGAGGCCAAATGTAAACTGTTAATCGATCACATTTCTTTTTCCACATGACTAACTTTATCCGTCCTGCTTTTTGAAAGAAAAAAAAAAAAGAAAAAAAAAGGGTATTAGGATGCATTTCATATTTCCTGCATAGGAGTAATATTTATTTTCACCAAAGTATTTGCTTTTTATTTCTTTTTTATTCCCAGTCAGCTAGAGTTGGCTCATGATTCTAAACTTGAAGTCCTTTTTAAAATTAGTCCAAATATACCACTTGATGTCTGCTTAGTGGAAAAAGTTTTTTTTCTTTTTTTTTTAATCATTTATTTTTGGATAACTTAACCACTTTGCGGTAACTTTTTTTTAAAGGGTTGTTGGTAACTGAAATGTATCTTTGAAGTCATGGCATGTTTTTGGACAGGATTCACAAGATTTGAAAGCTATTAAATCTTAAACCTCTAAGTATGCTGCGCCTGGGTGAACAGGAGTGTTGAACCGGAACTTAAGGGGGGAAAAGTGGGGCGCTCTAGTTTTTCTGCATCGGAAACGAAGGTTTTGCACATGGTCTAACCGTCTCGTGGACGAATGAATGAATAATGAAGAGGAAGGTGTGATGCCAGTTTGCCATCTCAGAGGGGGCTTTTCTAGGTTCTCTGCAGAGCTTTGCCAAGATGGCGCGAAGGAGGAAATGTGCGAGGAAATTCTGACTGAAATTCTTCTGATGATGAATAATTGTAAAAAAAAAAAAAAAAAAAATGGAAAAAATAGGAAATCAAGGAAATATAGAGTACTACAAAAGTTTATTTTACTACATGTCAGCTGATGCAGTTCTATGCGATGTACGTCTTCTGAAGATGTGGAGGGATTTTTCATGATCAGAGTTCCTCCCGTCAGTTTAATTCATGTCTTGTAGAATACTATCATCCGTTACCACAACATTTATTCCACATATTGGAACTGACAGAGATGTTTGAAGAAGTGTTGTGTAAGACAAATGCCTCCAACCTACTGTGAAAACATGCTGTAATGATGTCAGTATTTAAACTCTGAATTATGGATGGTGTATACTTAATCTTTCTAGTTTTGCAGTAATATTTTTTCCTAAGGTGATGCTGGCGTAAGAAGCATGTGAGATACATATATCCCACCATGCATCTCCCCTCCTGTGTCTGTTTGTAACATGTATGTCTCTCTACAGTATATTTCCTCTCTTTCCATTTTCAGTTAAATAGTACTCTTCTTGTAATTTTCACACATTATCTTTGTGTTTCTGTTTATTTTTCCTTTTATTGATGTGTGTGTGTTTTTTTCTCTGTTTACCTGTATTCTTTGTTTTTTGTTACTCTCTTTCAATTCCACATATTCTTTGTTTCCTGTCTGGACAAAAGCTCCTCCGGCTCTTTTCCTCAAAGGTATATTGCCTGTGTCTGACTGCATGTGTCTGCTGCATTTTGGCTCTTTGAGCCCCCAGCACCTCACTGCTTTTCTGTCTGTTCTACAGCAGATACGCCTCTCTCTATTCCCTCTTTATCTACCTGCATTCTTACTGTACTCCTCCTCGGTTACTAAATAGGTATCAGAGATAACATTAAAAGGGGGCGCTCTGCAGTGCACAGTGCGGAGGCAGCCAGCCAGACGTACTTATGCAGTTTTTAAAATTCAAATAACCATCCCACACATCCCGTGTCCAGAGGAATGTAATAGTCCAGGCCCAGTGTGGACTCATTCTGGCTCCCTCTGTCCTGTTTCACTCTTTGTTGTTGTTGTAACCACAGTGAACTAGCAGCCGCTGCAATAGCTTCCTCTTCTTTCCCTTCTCCTGCCAGTAAATCTATACCTGTGTGTTTGTTGGGCTTCTCAACCTGACGCTTCCTACAGAGTCAGCAGAGCCTTAACAGACTGAAACAGACAACCCCTGCACTGTGATAAGTCTAATTAGAGTTGGAGGTCCATTCAGAAAGATTAACACATGCTAATCTTTAAACACCCAAAAAGTCCGGGGTGGGCGGGAGCTAGCAAAGATCTAAATTTAACTTAACACACGAGTCAAGACAAGACAATCTGCTTTTCCATATAGAGGTCCAACATTAATATTTTACAAGGAGGAATATTTTTAAGGTTGGATAAGTTAGATTTTCAGCCCAGATGAGTCTAAATGTACTACTGAGAAAAAAAAAAAAGAAAAAAAAAAATCCACCTGCAGCATGGAAACACTAACATCAAATATTCAGCGTAAGCCACATAACCAAGGGATCCTCCAGTAATGATCCCAGGTGTTTCCACCTTTTGTCTTCTCAGAGAGGTTGTCTACTTTCAGCCAGTTAAAGTTGCCAGTGCCACTGTGTTGTTTCTGTGTTTTTATTTTTAATTTTATTTTTAATTTTCATTTTATTTTTTTGCTAACACCGACTCAGCACAGCCAGGCTTGACCAAGGCCATGCGGCAGGATGCTGTTAATGCTCCTTCTGCTTGAGCTTCCACTGCGCTTCCTCCAGTGCAACCAATCCCCTTTGAGAACTGAGTCATAACCTGCTCTGCTAATCCCCTTATTAACTCAACATACTGTCCGTCAACTAAGGACAAAAATGCTGGAACTAACCCGTATGTTGCTTGGTTTAGTGGTTATGTATCGTTTTCAAAGGGACAGCAGGTTTGTGCACTAGTGCTGGGCAAGATGAGAGGTTGTAGGGAATGAACAGTTCAATCAAGTTTAAGTATTTTAAGCTTGTTTGAGGATGCATGCTTACAGTAGATAATGTTATGTTCAAACTAAAACTGCAACAACCTAATTTTTTTTTGCAGCAAGCATGCTTTCTGTAGATACATAAAAAAATGGGGGTAACATTCATGTGGCAAAGCAAAAAAAAAAGCAAAACAAAAAAACAAAAAAAAAGGAGTCATGTTATGTGATGCTTGTTGCAATAAAAAAAAAAAAACTGATTAATACTAACAAAATTCTCATATCTGGAGTGCTGGTACAGTCATTTATAGGTTATTGTTCCTATGTTATGAAGCCAAAACATAAAGAACAAACTAAATGACAGCTACTTGCACTTTCTTGAGGGGAAAGCGATGGTGTGAAATTCTTAGAAGCTGAACTCTGGAGTGTGCACAACTCACTGTGTCTTTTTTAAATGATGAGCTTGATGCCCTAGTTTATCAGCAAGGTCAAGGACCCTTCCAGTTCCACCAAATGGAGGGAGGGTGGGGAGGGGGCATTTAATCTGCCAAAACAGCCAGAATTCCAATTTGTGCAAAGGTGGCATGGCATTTCGAGATAAAAGCTGATGAAAACGTTCTATTTGAATACTAATTGTCTCCCTTTAGAATGACAGGGCCACAGACTCGCTGATGTCACTGTCCTATTTTAGGAATCTTCACAAATGAAAGGCATGTGGCCTCCAGTGGTGAGCACAGTTTGAAAAGGAGGTTTATTTTAACCCATTTAGTGACAGCAAGAGTGGGCTGGAGAAATATTGAGCTGTGCGGTACACATCTGCCAACACATGCTCCTCCCTATAAGCTTAGCAGCATCATAAGCCAGTTACAACATATTCTATAAATGTATTTCAGAAAAAAACAAAACAAAAAAATGCTTACAGCACCCATACAGGTTCCAATTATAAAATTCTTTTGAGTCACTGCGCATTAAGAGCATTTTAAAAATTGTTCTTTAGAACAAATGACGCACATCTGCTTGCTAGTGTTTCCACAGCATCTTTAAACGCTGTGCAGCAGCAGTAACATAATCAACATAAAAAATGGAGGAGCATTGCCCAGCACTAGCTTTATATATCTGCTAAATAAAGCAATATGAACTACTGTCCTAAAATATTATGATTGCCTCAGCTGTCAACTATTACCCAACCCAAAGGTGTAATTTGCAACATGGGTTCCATGGGGACTAACCCTTTGTCACCATAAGCCTCACTAATTACATCCACACATGGTATTTATGGGTCTAAAATGGGTCCATTGGCCAGTTGAAGGTGCAAATTACATTTTGCTGACTAATGACAGAAAATGAAGTGGCAGACAGAAAATGGCAGCTCAAATTAGGTCCCCTGTTATGTCAGTGAGGTCTTGATTATGGCACTCTGGGGCTCTGGTGGCTAACTGTGTCATTTCATCCTGTCAAAAGCAGACACCCACGGTAGACATCCGTCCACGCTCTGCCACAGCCATTCAAATGAACAACGCCACACACATGCAGGAGCGAGACGAGGAGTACGGCTACGAGTGTCTGGACGGGAAGGACTGCACCAGCTTCTTCTGCTGTTTCGAAGACTGCCGCTCCGGAGCCTGGCGGCACGGCAGGTTGCACATCCGCATTGCCAAGATAGACTCATACGCACGCATCTTCTTCCCCACTGCATTTGGTCTTTTCAACCTGGTCTACTGGGTCTCCTATCTCTATCTCTAGGCCCTGGTGTGTATCCAGCCTTATCATACAGTTCATTACATTCTACATTATGCTCTGCGCCAGCAAGGAACATTTTTGAAGGAGAGGGACCCACTGAAACATCCAGTGATTTGATTTAAAGCATTTCCTTTAATTCTCGGATTTTAATCTCTTTAACATTTTAGTTATTTTATCTGATAACTCTGATAACAGACATAACAGACATTGCAAATGTTGTAGCATTACATTTTACTGGCATGAAGAGGTTTGTAAATGTGTTGTGAAAACATTGATTGTGTGAGCAATTAAGTTTTGTTTTGTTTTTGTTTTCATTCTTTTATTTTGGACTTTTCAAAATGGAATTTCTCGTTAATTTCTTCAAAATGGGATTTTTACAAACTGATTTATTTCCAAACACGCATTCCTTCCACAGTAAACAATCCAAATAAACAGGAAGTTAGATCACACCCAACAGAGAAATCTAAATGACATTATCTATGTCTATGTCTATCATTTATTTTCACTTTTTTTTCACTTAACATACTAAAACACAGAATCTGAAGCACTTTAATAGAGCTATGTTAGACAGTGACATTGAAATTCATTTTGATGACGCTAATTTATTTTTAATTTATCTAGCTAACATGTTAGCACAATTAAGAGTTGCATTTTTCATGTGTGGTCAGAGAGCTGTTTGACGCTGTTTATGGACACTGCTCAACTGTACAGACACTGTATATATTTTACTATTACATAGTGGTTTACATTTATTGCATGCGCCTTTCAGGCCAAAAAAAAAAATCAACATGTTTTATGGTCTTCTATTGTTGGCTATGGAAACTAAAAAACAAGCACTGTTGATTATCATTCAGGATTTAATTCTACTTTTTTCTAGGAAAATTGGAAAATGAAGCGATAAAAATGTGCCCAGTTTTTGCTTTTCAGTTGAGGAATCATCTTTGCGTACAGGTGGGAGGATCAGCCCTTGAATTTCAGGCTAGACGACTGGTTTAATCATTTTCCTCGCAGCCATTAGCTTACAGTATATAGACAACACTGACCTCTGACCCTCTCCTCCATTTGCTGTTAAAAATGTGCATTTACGTAATGACACGCTGCTGTTGTAAGCTTTTGTGCAAGAGAAACTGTACGACAACAAGTTAGGATTTCTCATAAAAACATATCACTTTTGCCCCTTTACATTAGCAGAGTGATAACTGCAGCTGCGTAACCACAGGTTGAGATTTCTGCCTTCAAATAGAGGAATTCAAACTAATCTACCCTTTAATGTAAATGTCAGGACAGACAGCTGTAGGGTCCTTTGAAATCCCAACAGAACAAGGGTCATTTTATGTGTCATTCTTCTAAGATGAGAAACAAACAAACAAAAAAACAACAAAAAAAAATAACTGATATGATAATATTGATAATAAATAAACCCTAGAGCTTCATTCGAGTAAAGAAAAGGCATCTGATTGTGTTGAGAACAGATGAATAAGCCTTATTATCAAGCATCTCACTTCCTGTCTCTTTGAAAAGAAACACATTGAGAATGTAAATCACTGTATCACATAGTGAGGAAATTGATTCTCTGGTTGGGCCGAAGTTCATTATTATTTTTTCTTTTTGTATTTGTTTTCCTTTTTTCCCTTAAAAATTTCTTTCGAATGCCGCGACGTGGCGTGACGGGGAGCGGACAACACAGCAAAAAGCATCTGAATTGTAAATGTTGTGTATGATAAGATATAACGCACACGAATTACAACCCCTTACAGGTCACTTTTGATAGACACCAGTATGCAACAGACGGAGACAGTGCTCATAAAGTATGATTTGTAAACTCACGAGGAATGGGTGTAAATCACATTGTTAATGTACATAAAATATAGAGAGAAGAAAACACTTGTCAGGCCCTTGGGATTTTGTAAAAGGGAATATATTTTGTAATTTCAGCATTGTTACAGTATATCACCATACAGTATATTAGACTTATTGTATTATGCTGGACTGATCATGTAGAATACTCGGGGGTAATGGGGTATTTATTTATTTATTTATTCATCGATGGTATTTATTTATTTATTCTGTTGAAAGAAACTGTACTTTATGTTCATATAGCCCCTGAAAAGAATACACAGATTACTGTCAATTATATCAAAGATACATTTTTGTTCGATGTGTCAATGGAGCTTGAGCTTATTTATCTTGTGTTTTCTATGTTGTGATCAATGTACACTACTCTCACTAAGGCCTGTCAAACTGTTATATCTGTTGAATTAGTGAGTTGCAACATTACCTGTTGTGCAGCTTCTGAGTAGTAGATTTAAATATTTTCAGGGGGGAAAAAAAAACACAAAAAAACAGTTCCCAAACCACCAAAAGAACAACATTTGCTTGTCTAAGTGAGTATTAATTACTTCCACTTTTTCCACCACCACATGGGTTGTCATCGGTCTTAATATTTGCCATCATGAATAAAGCATCAGTGATGATACGAACATATGCATTTAGCAGATTATCTCATATTTCCTGGAGTTCTTTCCCTTTTGTATTTAATGGTGGTCCTGTTGTGTTCCAAAGCTGCCACTTAGTAGTCCAAACCTGTCTTCAGTGTACACATACTCTATCTCTCACATCTTTAGGGCTGTTACGTGTGTCAATAGCAGTGTAGGACCGGCCGTCATCAGTGTTCAGTAGTTTAAAGAAGTGTGACGGAGTGATTACATCTTATAAAGTGCCAAACTGACACATGCAATAGAGAATATCAAATTATAATATCATTTGTGAATCCAAGAAAAGACATATGCTAAGAATTAGTGTTTACTTCAAGGAAATGCTAAGCAGCGAATGTTTGCCACTGCCATGTTCCTTCAGACATGGATTTGCCGGCGCTCTGGACATTTCTTTTATTTTTTTTATTGTTTTTTTCTTCTTTTGGTATGGTACAGAACCAAAAGCATGAGGACAGTTGTTCAAATGTAGACCAGACTGATAAAAATGTGTTATTATATCAAGGTGAACTGGAGGACTTTCTGAATCAAACTCTTTCTGACTTTCTTTACAAACCCATCATACAGATAACAGAGCATGTCTTGTGTTTAAACAGTGATGCAGAAAACAAACATACTTTCTAGAATTTGAATTTTTTTTCCATGATGGTCGAAGCTTGTTTATTATTTGTTTATTATATTTATATTTTTTGTGCACTCTACTGTAAATGCAGGGGTATATAAAAGTGTATGGAAGGTACCGGAGTGTGTTTATATTCAGTAGTGTGCATGCTGAATATGTTTTCAGTCAAACAGGGATGTTTTGGAGGAACTGGGACTAATTCAAGCATCGTTTCATCTGGTCCTTTGCCTGCATCGACATGGACTTTTATTACACTGTACCTATTTTTGACAAAGTGATTTGATTTATTTTGGGACCCACAAATGAGACATATATGTGAACAGCACATGTAGATATTTTCTATTGTTATGTATTTTGTCAAAATGCAGAAAACAAAATAATACGCACTGGAATTACCGAGCTCAGTAAAAGGTATCCGAGAACAAAATAAATTTCATATGATTCTCATACATACAGTATGTTAGTTGTTTGCCATCTATGTATATTTGAGTATTATATAAAAGGGGCACTGATCAATTCTGTTAGGGTCTGCATAATATACTATACATGTACTAGAAAAAATCCTTTTCATAAGGGAATTGCACATAGCTGTGGAATTTTACAATAAAATGGTTGCATTTATCAGTGTGTATAGGTTCATTATTAATATTTATTATTAATAGTTGTGCAGTAATATTTCAGTGGAACTCTATATTTTAGATATGATATATGCCATTATGGACTTTATGAAGTTTGTGAGGAACAAGCTGCTGGTGCTGAGGCATTATTTGACTATGAATAAAGTTCCACATTTCACGACCTGTTCTTTCAGCTAATGGAGAAAAAAAAAAAAAATGTGCCAGACATTCTTAGAATTAACAAACTCAACTTTTGCTCTCCTGTAACTTTAAATTGGTTTCCATTATTTGATAAACACTGCACAACAGTGACAGGCAATCCCAAAGTTCAAGCCATTGACGGAGCTGCTCATTTTATCCTGTCAAGAGTCTGGCACTGCAGAGTGCGAGTACGATGCAAAGGGGAGGTTGATGCTAATAGTGGATGGCACTTTTGTAGGAGCCCAAATATGGAAAGAATAGGAGCCATTATTTTACAGCTTCAATCATTTTATAAACACGGCGATGTAAGCACAGAAAAGTTCCTAATGGCAAGAAACTAGTCATTTACTGAAGAAAAATCTTTTCAACCAACCTGTATTTGACACTAATACTTGACATTATTATGAATTCATGTCAGGCAGGTAGATTCTGCTCTGAATATAAAGGTGGTAAATGATAGCTTGTTTTTCCACAGATAAATGAGCTAATTTGATGCAGTCAATTAAAACAAACATTATGCACCAAGTGTTGACAGTAAGATTCAGAAAGGTGACCGGGTACGAAGTCTACAGCCACCGCATCTACGTGTCCATTTAAAAAGTTCAAAACTTCATATTTGAACTTCTTCTCAGGCAAAGAGAGGTTCAACAGGTTGTAATTACAATAGGCGACGATGAACATATTTATCCAATTTTGTTGTCGTTAAATACTGAGTCACTTAAATTAGATGTTACAATGTCCAACTGACACATTAAGACATTTTAAAAGCTATGTCTGCAAATTGTTCAGCAATGATTAATGGATATCATAACTCATTTTCCCCCTTGCAGAAGAAAAACACCTTTAACAGTCCCGCTCTGTTCAGCTGGCTCTCCCTAGGGCCCTAAACAAAATTCTTCTAAGGGGCCCTCCTACGTGACCCATGAGCCATATTATCAATTTTCAAATATAAAATACTATTTGTATTATGACTCGGCTGAATATGTGATGGTTATTATCTCCTGAGATATGTGCATCCACGATTCTCAGTATGCCCAGCTAATCAACATTTTAAATTCAATATTTAATCAATAGTCAATGGCAATCCATTGCTTTCCATCTTGCATTAGTCCAGAGTTGTAACTGAACTTTGACCGAAAGACTAGAGAGTCATTGTCTTGTTTTAAAATTATGTGAGGAGTGCCTGGACCGGTCCCCACAGAGGCTGCTGTTGGAAAGTGCAAGTTTCACTTTGTAGACATGAACGCATGTTAACACAAGCGACACGGTTATCTGTTCTGAGCTGCAGCTTATAAACACTGATGTTTATCAAACATAATAAATTAGTTGTATTTGACTCTCACCTTTGTCAGGCACAAACTCACAGGTAAGCAAAACCTAGACAGACCAAGAGATGCACTGTTCAGCTCAGTTAGTCAGACAGACAGAGAGACTTCACATAACTGTGACACTGACTTGGAGAGAAGATTATCTGATTGCTGTTCCCGCAATTCACTCTCATGTTTTTTTGTTTTTTTTTTCGTTCTCTTTTTGTGACCAGAAGGATCATTCTGCTTCATCCTCTCGTCTGAGTTGTAAACAATGACACCCACTTTGACACGAGGGGGTGGTGGGGCCCTTGCATAATTTGCGGGGCCTTACGCAACTTGTGAGCGCACATAGGTCCGCCCGGCTCTGTGGTTTCAAGCTCTTTTGTGGTAGGGTTTCAAGTGCTCTTGGGGGCCCTCTGGTGGCCACGGCGCTTAGCTTGCTTATGCGTCTGGCCAGCTTTCCACCTCAGCGCTTGCCACTCATCTTGATGAGCTGTCAACTTTGAATTCTTTCTGAAGCCAAGGTAAACCAGCATCCCTACAGCCACCACAGGTTTTGCTGAAGCAGATGGTGGATGTTAAATTTGCTAAAAAAGCATATATTTCACATACAGTGTAATAATTAGACTTATATGTACTTTTATTGCTAAATTAGAGGCATAATTGCAACCCATATATATGTGATATCCAAATACACACTAATTTTAGTATTAACCTGGGAAACAGCTAAGGACATTGGTTTAGGTGTGACATAACGCTACCAGAAGCATATTTTCATTTAATAGGACAGTTTTTATACAGGAATAGCACAGCCTGTTCCAGTCCTGTCCAGTGATTCTCTTCCTTCCAGGAAAGTGCACTTGAAACAGAACAGCAGTTGGCTGATGGACCCCTGCGCTGGCACCTCTCCCTCCACTGGGCAGGGTGGCAGCTGCAAAGGACAGCCAGTGTATCCCTCTGATTATTACACAACCGTCTGCAATGTACCACAGCACCGTGCCGTCATAGCTAGCCCTTTCATCAGCTGAGGTACAAGCTCTTCAGAGAGTGCAGAGCTGGGGGTGCAGGGACTCCTGCATGAATAATGCAACCTGCACATGGCTCACTTTTTAGGACTTCACCCCCCGTGCTTTCATCACTGCGCGTAATGAAATATCCAGATATACCAGAATATACTGACTCCTAAAATCACAGCTGACATTAGGAGTATCTTTGTATGCAGATTGCTCACAATTAGGAGTAAACTCGAGATTTGTTTGTAAAATAGCAAACTACAGGAAGATCAAATGTTTTCTGAAAATACTGAACAAAGAGCACGTTCGAGTTGACCCCACATGTACAATCTTGCTGCCATAAATCCTCAGTAGCAAACATAACGTATATAAATAAATTCAATTAAATTCCCATTAAAATGCCTATTGGGTCCCCTACAGTCGATGGTAAAAACTGCGTTGTCACATAAATTAACAACTTGTATTTTCATGAGTCACAATTTGAATTTCCAACTTGCAGCAGAGTTTGAAGCCAGCAACACTGTGATCTTGCTAATTAGTGTTTGCCCTTAATTGCTGTTTCTGTATGTATTTAAAGAATCATTTCTCCCACACACCATTTCAAACAGATTACACTAAAGCAAAGCAAGTCAAATACTGTGTGAGCAGATGTTATGGACCAGTGAGTGAGCTCTGAGGAGATCACAGAAGCATTTCAGTCATTTGTCAGTACATTGATGAATGGAGCAGTGACTCCAGAGTCATATGTAAAATTAAAAAGGGGAGTTCAAGCAAAGGGATGAATATAGCTCAGCAGAGCAGATGTCAATTAATATGGTATGGTCTAGCTGTAGCTGCCTTAAAAAATGTGGAGCCCTTTAATATATAGGATCTACTTTGAAGTGACCTCTTAAAAGTAATGTTTAAAAAGTCATGATATTGAAGATACCAGTGGCACATCAATATATACATTGAAATACATCTCATTAGAGATGACATTTAATGATTTTTGAACTTCTCAATCAATGACACACATCGCAAAATCATCAGCCAGAAAATAATGTGACCTTTCACATTAGTTTAGACCTGACCCCCTGCGTTAGCGCTGAGGGACGCTGGGTGTGACCATGTATGTGATTCCAGGTATTTCCCCAAATCTCCTGTCATTTCCTCCTGTGTTTGTAACATGTATTTAACCGTGTGCATGTTTCTGCCTGGTTTTTTGCACCCCTCATTAACAGCTCAAATGTAATCTGCTCGGGCTCAGTAACAGTGTGAGCAGGGAAACAGAGGGATGGTTGCATAACTTCTTCTTTTAGCCAAGACACTCTGTATAAACAGGGATTAATTACCAGGGTTTACTGTCAAGATACTCCAATCCACAATCATCGCAGGCAGATGACGAATAGGATCCTGAATACACAGGGACTACTGAATATGCACGTGCACACACACACACACACACACACACACACACACTAGAGATTAAAAAAAGTAATTTTATTTACTTTTGTTTACTTCTGAAGTTGTATATGTGAAAATATCTCATTGCATAAATGGAATTTGAACGTCCACTTCAAAAACACTGTCCCATTGTTAAGTCCCTAATCTCATAATAATGTTACATATCTCGCACTTCAAAAGGCCAAAGATGAAAAACTGGGAGAATGAGGAGTAAAAGGAAGTAAAAAACTAATAAGATAAGATTTGAATTTTTTTATTTATTTATTTTTACCTCAGACTCTAATGCCTTTAAAGGTGGAGGCCTCTGACATTCAAGAGTTTCAAATAACAACTCAGCTTTATTCCGTATGGCTGCAACTGCCTGCAGTCTCCTCCATAACAACACATATTCAGCTGGGATCTATTTATTTTACAGTGATTACAAATCCAAATGATATCTAGGATTATGATATTCTTCTTCAGAAATGAAAGAACCTATAAATTTCCTATTGAATTATGTAATAATAACTGCAGCTAATTGCTTTGAATAACGATAGTAGATAACGATAATTGGACAGTGTATGTCTTTACCATCGCATACCATACTGTACTTACAGTATCTGCTCAGAATTAAATGGTAATTTTTCTCATTAGAATCCTCAAACAGCATACAGGGTAGAAAATAACAAATGATGGAGGAGAGGTTACATCCACAAACCAGTGCAAATTGGTTCTATTCTCCTCTGATATCCTGCTGATATATGGTGAAAATGTACTGACAATGAATGTGAATACTGTGTTTAGTCAAGTCATCTACCAGGGGAAAATGCTTCTATGTCCATGCACCATTTCAAAGTAATATTATAATACTGAGACATTTTTTTCTTCTTTTTTTTTTCATTGCATATGATTTATAACATAGTAACTGGCACCGTGTACTTTTACTCATGCATTGCAGTATAATTTTCACTTCCACCTGTTCTACATATAGATTTTTCTAGCAACTTTTTTTGCTATCCCTACCACTGTAATCGTCTTCACCTTTC